CATTTCAGGAAAAAAAAGGCCCTTCCTGAGTACGAGACAATGAATATCTTTTGTGATGACACCTGGTACCAGTAATTTTAAAATAAATTTACACTACTGTAAAGCAATCCTGTTTTTTAGAATCTTGCTAACAATTAATTAATTAATTTCAATATCTTGCAATATTTGTATAACATGGTCCTTTATTTTAATTCCTTTGTTTTAGCTATTGAATAAACATTGTTATTATTTTTATTATGTCTTTGGATACATTTAAAGTTATGATTTTTGTACTATATAACAGTTTTTGAATTGCTGTTTTAAGACAGCTTAGCTACAAAACTGAAGCTGCATTTGTATTCCCACTGATATGGGAATAAGATATTTAAAGGAACTAGATTCAGTAAAACTAAATTGCATCTGGATTGCACCATAAATCCTGTTATTAAATCAAGGCTTACTTTGAATTGTATGCTAAATGAATCAAATTTTCTGATCCCTTGTTCAACACTTCCTCCAATTCTTGCCACATCACTGAGTATCCATGCACCTTGTTCTACCTACTTGGTACTGCCACATCTAAAGAATCAACAACATTTAATTATTACAACCTTCATTACTCAAACTCTAAAATGATTGGCTATGTAGCAAGGCAAAAATCAGTGTAGCATCATCATGCTTATGTGTGTCTGATTTCACATTGCTCCCAAAATGTGTAGCTGGAAAATGAAAATGATGGTTGATTTTAATCCAGTGCTTGATAAGCATGCGTACCTATTCAGAAAAGACCACAAATGAAGGCAGAGTGGGAGTGAACATTTCATGACAAGCACTTTATAAGTTTGTATAACATGCTATTAACATTCTGTTCATGTCCAATAGCCCCCAAAGGTTGCTTAACTCTGTTACATACATATATATGTTGAATCTAAATAGCACTACACATTGTCAAAATGAATGAAACTAAATAGCCCTGCATGTTATCCAAAAATAACTGTGGAATGTGTCTAATAATGATTACTTCTGCTGTATTTTATTTCTTTATTATTTTCCTATATCTATTTATCATTCCGATTTTAATTCTTCTGTGATAATATTTCACTGTGATTTACAGTATTGTTTTCTATTACAATGTTAGTGTCCTTTGGGATCTAGACAAAAGCATAAGATAGAATATGAATAAATACCTTATCCAAATGAATGGTGATCACTCTTTTATCAAGCGTGCTGCCAATTGAATCTATACTAATCTAAAATATAACTTCTTGTGTTAATCTCTTTATTCTTATTATTTTAGAGAAAATAATTTCTTGATCAAGTACAAGTTAATTTATAGCTGTCTTTCCTGTACAAACAGCTAATGAATTTTTATGTAGCTTCTTCTAAGTCTTTTTCTGTATAATAAGTTTGTTTCTGACAAGGACCTAATCTGGCAGAAAGCTATCATTCCTAAGAATGGATGATATCCTTCAATCTGATTACAAAGCATTTAAAAACATCCTAATAAATGCTCCTGTAAAAATGTTTGGAAAATACAATAATGTTCCCAAAAATATTCCTAATTCCTATTATGGCTAGGGAATGACAGTATAATAGAAATCTTCCTTGGAAAAAGCAAACTGCCATGAAAATTATCTCTGGAAAATGTCTACTTACGCTACCAATATCTTAATATTGGAGACTGGCTGGAATAAGACAGCTATTTGGTTTTATTTATAATTGTCTACCAGATAACTATTATATTTTGTGATTTTTATAATAGACCCATGTAAGAGGCATGCTACAGGTTTGCAATCCAGCAGGTGCTTTTACAGCTACAGATAGAAGGCTTGTGTGAGAATTGCGTAAAAGTATCTGAAAAAATTGCCGCCCTTGGCAGCCTTGAAAATCTTAGTCCCAAGATTTACTATGCTCCCTGGGGTCTCAGATAATTAAGCAAGGCAAATATATAAAAGGCTTCCTAACAACCTGTTCATCTTGGCTCAACAATAATTCCTGGGGCCACACTTCATTTACATAGCTGTTGTGTGGGGAAGATAGTGTGGTAGATTAAGTATCTTCCTTATGGCTGAACTCTTTTTACCAGACATCCAGGAATAAGTATGCCTGATGGCTTTTTTAGCTAATCTAATTTGCTAAATTTACAATATATCTATCATGAAGCTTCCCTGACCTGCTCCTGAGTTGCCACAGGCAGGGGGGATGGGAAACTGTGCCTTGCAGCTGCACCAAGGAATTTACTCCTTAGTCATTACAAGACCAGTCTGACCAAGCAAATCAAGGCCATCTCCATGGATACAAACAATGGCTGGATGGTGACTTCTACAACCCGTGAAATTACCTCATTGGTGAATGTGATGGGTCACACACTTTAGGGGAGGGGGAAATAGGGTCAGAAGCAAGGTGCAAAAGGAGTGAAGTCAGAATTGACTTCACCTAGGTAATGCTGACATGGTGCTCCTAATAAAAGACTGGATTTTTATTGCCAGGTGGCTTGAGACTCTTAATTGTATTAGGGCACTAGTCAAAACCCTGACAATATCTAATTTACATTATATCTACATTATATGCTTAATATACAATAAATCTAACAAATGTAATCTATTTAATCTAGATTTCTAATCCAGAAATCTATTTTGTTAGATTTGCAGTATAATTCTGAACAATGAAACTTTCACTTGCACAGCTTATTGAGCATGCAAGCAATTTACAACAAGCTATCTTACAAAGTGGAAATTAAATTCTGCAAATCTTAACATGCAGCCAAATTTGAATTTAAGTATAGAACCTCATACCATGACTTAAATGCTATTTCTGTTGAAATCAATTAACTCTACCGTTAATGTCATTCTAATATATGCTGTTTTCTTTGAATTATCTGATGTGGAAGGGCTTACCAAACCAACACTTTATATATCTAGGCCCTAAACCAAAACAAATGGATTCAGATTAAAATGCAATCCTCTTAATCTCATATATTAAACAATAGTGTTCTCATTGTAAGCATCAATACCTTCCTTTTTAAATATTCAGAAAAAGGAAGGCAGAGAAGGCAAACTAAATCTAGAAGTTTTAGTTTCCAAAAAAGTTGCCAGGGTGGTGTTTCTTTTCTTGAGCCAAGAACTATTTTGCTTGGCTTGATATAGCTTGGTCTGACAGGAGAAAAAAACCCAACAACAACTTGCCAACTGCCTAAGATTTAATAAGCTGAGCTGCAAATGCTATTGGTTTTTGGCACATCATGATGCCTGTATACCACACAACATAGGAACCAGAGGTTTACTTTGGCTGTTGTAGCCAATGCTTTTAGCCAATATATGCTCTTTGAGCCAACCAAGGGTATGTTTAGAGAGCGTGGTTTTAGCTGAGGTGTTAAAAAGCTTGGGTTGGCTACCTAGCCAACATTTGTACTGAGGGAAAGATGTGACCATTCATGTCTACTCAAACAGGGCATGAAACCTATTGGCAGGAAAACATTTCCCTTTACCCCATATGGCAGCATGTCAGGAACTTCAAAGGTGCCCATTGGCTTCCTTCCAAACCAGCTCTAAGCATAAGCCAGTAATGACAATACAAGGTGCTAGGTCATCCTTTCACCCCAATATAGAACCATCCAATTGTGCTGATATGTTATCAAATATGCATTCTAATAAAAATTTTACAATCTGTCATCCATACCAAATTGGGATGGTTTTGTAATGAGGAATCTTAGTTTTGTATCTAGGCAAAGCATTTTGGTGTGTCTCTCTCAGGAATTTATTTTTACAAAAACCTACATAAATCTGATTCTTATAAAACCCTACATATTTCACAAACTAACATCAGGATCAGAACATGGGTATCACTTCTTTGAATGGTGCAATGTATTTCTTAAGTCAAACAGCAATAGTTATTTAAATGGCCACCGAACTTGTAAAACACCATTCTGATTGGTTCACAGCTATAATAATAGAAAGTCAAAGACAATAAAACTTTAGTTTGATTCATTTACAAATGTATGCTTCTTTGACATATTTAAAAATATATTTGAATTTTCATGAAGATCTTTTTAAAAATGTCAGATGAATCAGAAAGCTGATGGATAATGACAGTGACAGTCAATAGCCATAATAGCAAAATAGAAATGTATTTTTACCATAATTACCATGTAGAAAAGCTCAAGACCACTGGTGGGATTCAAGATTTTTTACTACTGGTTCTGTGGGTGTGGCTTGGTGGACATGGCATGGCTTGGTGGGTGTGGTTTGGTGGGTGTGGCAGGGGAAGGATACTGAAAATCTCCATTCCCACCCCACTCCAGGGGAAGGTTACCACCGGTTCTCCCACCTACTCAAAATTTCTACTACCAGTTCTCCAGAACTGGTCAGAATCTGCTGATACCACCTCTTCTCAAGACAGCTAACAGATACTCAGCCAAGAGAATCAAACCTTCTGATATTGGAAACAAGATTCCTGCCATTTTATCAGCCTTTGGATTGGACTTAATCTTTTGTATATGGGACAAAATGATGCAAATAGGTAGGGCTAGGGTTTCCTGTTTTTTCCCTCTGTCTTTATATGGGGACCAGGAGAAATGTGTGTGGATTTTTATATATACATTTAAGGATTTATAGCATTTTTTTCTAAATATTTCCCATCTTAAAGTAGTTTGATTTATGCCATAAATTTCAGTAACTAGGGTTAGAGATAGTTCTGGAGGTGCAGATGTTATAAATGTTTCTGTTACCTGCCTAGATTAAATCAGTCCGTGCCATAAAAATCAGTCAGTGTGCAGAGACAAGACAAAAATATAATTTTGTCTCACTCCCATTAAATATTTTCCTCATCCAGTTTTCAATATTCAAGCATAAAGTGATAGCTAAATATCCAATTCCTAAAATTTTTGGTAAAAATGATGACTGGCAAGATCTGAAGCTGTGAAGTGAGTAGCCCAAGCATAAATAATCATATAACTAGAAACCAAATACTCACTTTTCCCGTTGATTTAAATAGGACAATATAAGTAGTATTCAACATCTTACCATTTTAGCTTCTGAATGCATTGGAGCAACTTGAGGTGAAGCACATGGATTATTGAGGTTTGGACTTTGCATTCCCATGATACTTGAGTTCATAGACATCTGTCTTTCCATCTTGAGAAGTGAACAGAGAGAAGAAATGAATTTTGGCATGTGGAAGATAAATCTAAGGACCAAAGATAATTGAAATTTTCAAATGACATGTTGTTTTTCTTTAATTAAGCAAGAGATGAACTATCAATTAATGTAAGAGTAATTCTATAGGAAAGTCTTATCGAGTTCAGTGTTTTGTTCATGTATGTATGTATGTGGGAGGGAGGGAGGGAGGAGGGAGAGAATAGAATAGAATAGAATAGAATAGAATAGAATAGAATAGAATAGAATAGAATAGAATAACAGAGTTGGAAGGGACCTGGGGTCATCAAGTCCAACCCCGTCCCTAGGTAGGAAACCCTACACCATTTCAGACAAATGGTTATCCAACATCTTTTAAAAAACTTCCAGTGTTGAAACTTTCACAACTTCTGGAGGCAAGGTGTTCCACTGATAAATTGTTTTAACTATCAGGAAATTTCTCCTTAATTCTAAGTTGCTTCTCTCCTTGATTAGTTTCCGCCCATTGCTTCTTGTCCTGCCGTCATGTCCTTTGGAGAATAGCTTGACTCCCTCTTCTTTGTGCAGCCCCTAAGATATTGGAACATTGCTATCATGTCTCCCTTAGTCTTTCTTTTCATTAGACTAGAGTCATACCCAGTTCCTGCAACCATTCTTCATATGTTTTAGCCTCCAGTTCCCTAATCATCTTTGTTGCTCTTCTCTGCACTCTTTCTAGAGCTTCAACATCTTTTTTACATCGTGGCAACCAAAACTGGATGCAGTATTCCAATGTGACCTTACCAAGGCATTAGAAAGTGATACTAACACTTCATGTAATCTTGATTCTCTCCCTCTGTTTATGCAGCCTAGAGCTTTGTCGGCTTTTTTGGCAGCTGCTGCACACTGCTGGCTCATATTTAAATGGCTGTCCACTACGACTCCGAGATCTCTCTCACAGTTACTACTATTGAGCAAGGTACCACATATACTGTACCTATGCATTTGATTTTTCTTGCCTAAATGTAGAACCTTACTTTTTTCATCATTGAATTTCATTTTGTTAAATAATGCTCAATGTTCAAGCCTGTCAAGATCTCTCTGTATCTTAAGCCTATCTTCTGGAGTGTTGGCTATTCCTGCCATCTTGGTGTCGTTTCCAAATTTGATGAGTTCCCCATCTATCCCCTTGTCCAAGTCATTGATGAAGACGTTGAAGAGTACTGGGCCTAAAACAGAGCCTTAGGGTACTCCACTGCATACTTCCCTCCACGTAGATGCAGTTTGATTGAGTAGTTACTTTGAAAGTAATTTATCTTTTCATTAGAAGTACAAAGTCACTTAGGTTTGAAAATTGTTATAATAGCAATAGCATTTAGACCTACATAGTGCTTCACAGCCCTATCTAAGCGGTTTACAGAGTCAGCATATTGCCCCCAACAAACTGGGTCCTCATTTTACTGATCTCGGAAGGGTGGAAGGCTAAGTCAACTTTGAATAATTTGTCTTTTATATTGAAAAATAACTTAGGTTAAGTAGATCTAAACTATTGCTATTGCTAAACTATTGCATAAAATTATGGTTAATGCTATCTAAATTATCTGGAATATTCAAAAAGCGAGGCTTTCCCCAATGGGATTGTTAAATTTGGTAGGTATAACCCTCCAGGTTCCTATCTTAAATTAATTAAGAAGGTAAAAGTAAAAAGATGTTCCTGCACCTGCAGTGCAGATCTTGGTAGATTTCATGATATGTGTGTATGCATGTGTATGCATATATGTATATACATATGCACACAAACACACACTACAGGGAACAGAGCCAATAAAATTGAACCTTATACGAATCAGAATAAAAAGTATTTGTGTGCACACATACACATACACACACACATAGGAATATATATACACATTCACAGATTCACACATTTCTATAGCACATAACTGTTTGAGATTTGTTACCATAAGATATGCTTGCCATCAACTTGGGTGGCTTCAAAATGGGATTGCCCTAATTCATGGGGGTCAATGGTTATTAGTTCTAATGATAGTTAGGATGCCTCTGAAGGCCTCAGCTGGGTGTTTAGTGGGCTTCCTTGTCCGGCCACTTTAAGAACAGATTGCTACACTAGAGGGACCAGGAGCCCGATCCAGCATCATTGCTAATACGTTTATGCTAATTGTGCATAAATAAATAAATAAATAACATTATTTGTTATTTTTGAAACTATACATGTAGAAAAACAATATGCTTACTGGCATCAAGACAGCAGAGGATCCAGGCATTGTAGGATTAGGTAAAGTCCCAGGCATAGAGGCAGGCATGGGCTGTCTTTGACGGTTGTGCAGATGTAGCAGTGATGATAAGGAGCCTGGGACAGGCCTATAAAAGAGGAACATGGGAGAAAGGGTTAAATATAAAACTTCAGAAGAAAACAATTGCAAATTCAATTATTCCTATTTCAAAATTATGAATATAAAGCTAATATGTTGCAAAACAATACTCTAATGATTAAGATCCAGAATAAAGTGTGTCTAGTCTAGCACTATAAGAATTCTCAAGTGCTTCTTCCCCATATCAACAGGGGTGAGCTGCTGGGGATTTGGAGGTCGGGAAATTCTCTAGCTAAGATTCTACACAGTGCAGAGAACTTCCTGGCTGGCTCCGCCCCACCCACCCCACCCCTCCCAGGAATCTCCACATGTCCTGTTTTGGATCAGGTAAATGCAGTGTTTGCAAGGAGGTTCAAGAAGGGTGAAAAATGGGCCTCTTGGAAGTTCAGGAAGGCTTGAAACGGGCCCATTTCCAGCTTCCAGAGAGCCTCCGGAGCCTGGGGAGGCAGTTTTTGCCCTCCCAGAGGCTCAAGGAAAGCCTCCGGAGCCCGGTGAGGGCAAAAATAATCCCCACCATGGTGCAGGCGGCCGACTAGGCCATGCCACTATGGCCACGCCCACCCAGCAACCAGGCAGAGAACCCGTTGCTAAAAATTTTGAGTCCACCCATTTCAAACTGCTGTCTGATGATATAAGCTGGATGGTTATTTAGAATTGTTTAGGAAGTAGCTGGAAACATTTAGAATAGTTTCCAATTTATTAACAGATACCTAATGGTGACAACAATAAAAAAAATTAAGTACAAGATGCTGTAGGACAGAGTTTCCCAACCTTTCTGGCTTTGTGGACCATTTGGGGGTGGAGAGGGAGGGAATGCAACATTTTCTTTATTCATACTGTTGATTTTTATAGCAAGATATAATATGTAATTTTTACTTGAAACTGATATTATTTAAGTCATATTCTAAATATTTTCAAGTGATTACATATTTCAACACTTTCTAAATAAAACACATCCTAAAAACTAAATTACTGTAGACTCATGAAAACAAAGCCTCAACAGTATCTCTAGTGCAGGCTTGTTACTATGAGCTAATAATTTCAGTCTTTTAAGCAAGCACAGTCTTCTTTTCTTAATCATTGTGCATCCCTAGGCAAAACATTTCTACTGAAATCCACTGAAATCCATTAGAACAAGGCAAGGTGTATAAGCTAATATGGGGCTATTCAGCCACTAAACCAACTCCAGAGTGTTCTGTACCGACATATTTTATATCTTCACATTCACTTGTAAAAACACTGCTTTAGGTTAAAACCCATTTAAGTTTTGCTTTTCAATTAATATGAGTCAGAGTCAGAGGAAGCAGACAATAAACTAAACAGAAGTTCTTTGGATAAAAAACTTCTAATTTTTGGTAATTGCCTTAACTTTTTCTATGTTTTCCTCAAAAATGTACATAATGTGCATTTTCTTAATGTTGCAAACTTTATTCAAGTATTGCCTCCAAAGTCTCATATTGCTTGAGATTAGTCTAATGATTAGTCTCTGTTTTTTCATTTTCTCCCTTAAAGTATGTCACCATGGTAGAAAGGCAAAGAATGCTAATAGTAGTAATATTTGATTGCCCGTAATTAAGATGACTTTGTATAAAGTGGCCTGAAATTGGGACAATTCTAAATAATATTCACTTTGACAACAGAAAAACTAAATTAAATACTTTAGTTTAATGCAATTATTCCTATCTTCTAATCCTTCCTTCCATACAATATATACACATTTTCTCACTTGTATAAAATATCCTCCTTATATTTAGCTTTAACAAAGCAATTCTACTTGTGCAGCAAAGCATGTACTATTCTTCGTTCCTTTCCAGTTACAATTTGAGCTTGCTATACTCCCTTTCAACATTGCAGCTGATTTTGTGGTTAGAGTCCATTTGTTTTCACATCAATGAAATTAATTTCCATTGGAAACTGCATCTGAGGCATTTAATCAAAATGGGCCTAAAATAATCCTGAAAAGCTCATCTGTCTTCCAATCTATATAGTGTTTTAAAAATTGGACATGTGCCCTGCAATAATATTGCATTTTACAGAGCTTAATGCTCTGTACTTCTAAGTATCAGTTACATCAAGACACTGGTAAATTAAAACAGTTCAAGATTCTGATTAACATTGATTTTATAAATATATAGACAAAACTACTATAACTATATCTTTATGGCAAACAAAATGGAATTTGAATTGTTTGGTAATGAGAAAGTATTTAATACAGGTATATTTCCTTGTTAAAATATATGACAGGAAGCATCCATGTTCAAAAGAATGAAACTTCAAGCAGAGTTGTTGCAGAATGAAAGATTTTTTTCTCACCAACTTTTCTCACATTTGTTCTGAAAGGTTAAACTTGATGCCAAGTAACAGACATTTTGTATTGACATAGATATAACAGTATAAAACACTGGAACATGGATCCCAATTCAAAATCAGAAAGTATATCTTCAGGAAGCTGTTTCCCAATTTCCCCTCCTAAAGATAAGTTTTAAAGCAACTGTCAGCATGTCCAAGAATGTAGAAAGTAGGGTATAATAACTTTTCCCTTCAACAACAAACCGCAGAGACATATTACAATTTCTGATCTATAAAAGTGCAATGTGAAAATGCACAAATCTAAGAATTAGTTGTGTAAATTCTCTGTAAATATTAAGTATAGTTAATCACAGCTTGACTAGGTCTTTCCCCCTTTTTTAACTCCATTAAGTTTTTTAACTTGAATTTTTATTAAAATTTTATGTACTTCAATTTTAAAGAGTCTTTGAGTCCAGAAGAGATAAACATTCCAAAGATTAGTTTAATATACCATGTAAGTAGCTGGGAAAAGCTGATAGTTTAGAAAGAACTAGTAAATATGCTGCCAAATTCCAAGGATCAAAAGGGACTGGGAAAAGCCTGCATGCATATGTAGCCTCACAATGATGTTCTTGTCTGGGTGATATGTTCTCCTGTATAGTCAATATTTTTTTTTATCATTGCACCTGCTTTTGGATTGCATCCCATGGGGGTCTGCATGGTCTTTACCTTCCCTGCCTTCAGGCAATCTTTAACAACTTGGCTGTTTCTCTAGGCCTGCGGCCAAGAGGTTTGGACAGGCCTCATCTTAGCAGCAGGTGTTATGGAAGTATGTTGTGGTTTTGGTGGTTTTCTCCCAAAGGCCAATCATATTTACACTACATTGCATACTATTCTATATACATTACATATATTATAATTTTGTGAAGCCACTCCAGAGTCCTTATGTAATTAATTAACAAACAATATGCCAGGAACAACAAGGAGTGTCTTGTGTTTATACGTTGCGCTATGATGTCGTTCATGGCAAAGGCTTACAGTAGTCTTTGTGTTCATTTAAATAGTGCTGTATGAGCTAGAATCCTCTGCTCTCCTCTGCAGGTAAGTTGACCAGGTCTTAAGAAATATCACCACTGAAGAAAGAAGGATCTGCTTATAATTTGCATTCCACATGCTAACATGCTGTCTGAAGTGGACAAAATAATGAAATGAATTCTAATTGTAGAAAATAGAAAATGGGGGAAATGCAATTATTGTTAATTCAGCCATAGTTTTGTCTCACTATCTTCACAAGTAGATACAGCAATGAACTACATGAACACTTTCCTGCTAGAAAACCTGTGAGAAAACTTGGTCATAATGAGCACATTTCAATCTTGTGTCTAGGAATTGACTTGAAACTCTATTAGTATATTGCTTTCTATGCTCTCTACCTGAATCTATGAACTAATACAGATGGTCTTATATTAAGAGTTAGTGTAGCCTCATGAAGTTGATTGAATTCCATATTTACTTTAGGTTACTCCAATCCTGAAGTTCCACAGTAACTAAACATTTCTCTAAGATAAGCATATAGCCAATAACAGTCTTGATTTAGGAGATGTTACATGGGAAGGGATGCCTTATGTTTTTAAGTCATGGTAGATCAGCACTAAAGTCTGATTAGTGGCTACATTTTACCTATATATGGGCAAGATGCAAAATCTATTAGATCTAATTGCATTCTAAAATAAAGGAATTGAAATGAGTCCTATCAATGTTTGGATTGATACTTGTAATACAGAACACCCGATTGATTGTATCCTCTGTAACCTAGATTACAAATAATATGTGGTATTCAAATATGGCTGTAGAGTTGCAAGATAGATATTTTATAGTGCTGTGGAGAAAAACCTGACTCATATTCATAAGGTACAGTATAAAGTTAATTTAAGACTTATATATGGTGATTTTGTTGCAAAAAAAAAATGCTTCCTGCAAGCATTGCATCCTTAAATTATTTCAGGGTTTTTGGGCCTCCCTATACTCCTACTTTATCCTTTTCCCGGAGTTGATTGTTCACAAGCTGCTTTGATGTTTTTCATGTTTTTCTTCTTATATCTTTACTATTCTGGATGCTATGATTGATGCCAAGATATATTTGGTTATACTTATTGGGTTGGAACTGTTTTGAAGTGTGGTATATGGAATGTGGAGAGCCTGTTTGGTTTATAGCTTTTACTGGGAGCCTCTAGACTCCTAGTAGAAGCTGTAGGAAGCTTCCTTGGTTAAAAGAGGCAAACATCAAAATAAGATCTAATATAAGATGTTTTTCAAGGTTCTGTCTTCTCCATTCTTTTTAATATTTAAATGAAACTTATGGAAGAGATAATTGGATGCTCTTAACCAGATTTTAAAACCTATTAAAGCATACACAATAGAACTGACTGAAAGGATCTTCAGGATTTATAGATGATGAATGAGATGGTATGCACTACATGATTGAAAGTTAGGAACATCAAGATTCATATATTCCCTATTCTGACATATAAACTAATTCACTTTTTCCCACACTGGTTTCATTCAGGAAATAATGTTATAATCAAACTTTGAAGAAGCATTTCAGTTTGACTTACTGGACAGAAATAAACCACTATTTTTGTTTAAATTACAGGCTAGAAATATTTATTGGACTGCTAGCATATTTTGCATCTTGAAGCC